GGCAAGAAAAACAATTGTGAGAGATCACCCAAAACATCTTTCTTCTTTTCTTTGATTTTGATTGCTAGTTTATGATGGATCTTATCTTAGTTTGTTTACCCATAGTTATGAGTAGCTAAATCTTTTGTCTAAGGTTTTGATGGAACCTATTGGGGGATGAACTTCTTGTTTATGTGAATACAAATTGCTAGTTTAAATCTTTATTTATTCAACTATGTTCTTGTTGTAGTTAATTGACAGGATCCTCAATTAGCTGTGCCTATTTAGTGTGCATAACTCGGGAGAGAGTGCATATTTAGGTTATTGTTGAATAACACCACTCCTAAAGTATAAGAGGAATCTATAACTGCGGGTTTAAAGGTGGGATTAGGGATAACGAAGCCTTGGGTGCAATCTTAAGTGAACTGTGTTAATTAAAGCTAGCTAGTGTATCTCGGGAGAGTGCAATAGTATATTACTGTGATTACTCGGGAGAGATTTACGGTAAGAAAAGTGTTCATGATTGATAGAGGTGTGTTGGTAAATTTGTATGACGCATAAACAGAAGGGATTCCATCAATAGGGGAAATCTTTACCTTAGCTTTTTCTCATCATTGTTTACAACCTTAGCATTTTAGTTTACAGCCTGTTTAATTTACTTGCAATCTTAGTTACTAAAGAAACCATCAACTTGTGATTTAAACATTTGGGAAGCTGGTTCTGAAGAGTTTAGGGGTCTAAAGATTGTGATTGATAGGTTAATTCTCTGTGGGATTCGACTCCGGACTTGTAAACCGGATTATATTTGCAACGACCGCATTGTCCTTTTTATAAGGCATAGTTGGGCGTGATCAAATTTTGGCGCCGTTTCCGGGGAGTTAACGGAATTATCAATTACCATTGATAGAAATACAAAAATTCTTAGTGTAGNGGAAATCTTTACCTTAGCTTTATCTCATCATTGTTTACAACCTTAGCGTTTTAGTTTACAGCCTATTTAATTTACTTGCAATCTTAGTTACTAAAGAAACCATCAACTTGTGATTTAAACATTTGGGAAGCTGGTTCTGAAGAGTTTAGGGGTCTAAAGATTGTGATTGATAGGTTAATTCTCTGTGGGATTCGACTCCGGACTTGTAAACCGGATTATATTTGCAACGACCGCATTGTCCTTTTTATAAGGCATAGTTGGGCGTGATCACATTCCTTTAAACTCAAGAACTTCAAACACTCACAACCAAGCGCTTGATTCAAGCCTAACAAATTCGGAATGAATCCAAACTTTGCACACAAGTCTCAAATGACTAAACGTACATATCCAAGTCTAGGATCAACAATTTGAACTCGATTGCCTCAAAGTCAGCCCAATGTCAAACTTGTGAACTTTCCAAACCTTCAACTTTCTAACTTTTGACCATTAGAGCCAAATCAACATAGGAACCTCCAAATTTAATTCCGGGCATATGCCTAAGTCCAAAATCACTATAAGGACCTATTGAAACTATCAAATATACATAGTTTGGTCCCATCTTAAAAAGACACCTTGCTACCCTTGATTGGATAAAATAGACCTGCTCCTGTTTAATCAAACCCACGCGACCCATCTATTTCTCCCAAATCAAAGTGAAGCCCACACAATATATTGTATTTCTCTTTAAATCTCCCTGCAGACCCACACAAATTAAATGATTAATTGGAGTGATATGTTTTACATCTAATATATTTGATATTGCATAAACTTTAAAGTTTTCCTAAACTAAATTTAGATAGTTTTTCCCTAAAAAGAGCTACGGTTCTGATATTTAAATATACATATATTTATGTTCAAGCTTTCTGCATGTTAGAAATATCTAGTTTAGCTTACTTTATTTGTGAAGGTAAGCCCTTAAGCAAGTAGTGCATCTTTCTAGAGCTTGTGCACGGGGCATTTTGAAAATTCTAGTCGTCATTGACACAACCACAATGTACAAGGCGATATGCACATGGGATCACATGATAGATAGAATCTTGTAGCCTCTGGGTACAAGAGTTACCCAGGTTTAGGTGTGGGTTCTCTAGCTGCCTTGTATTGACTGTCTGTGTTATGATCTTTCTTTCTTTGGGAGCAATATTGATTTATTATTTTTTGTTTTGATATAATGTAGATTATCGCAATAATAGAAAAAATAGTGTTTCATTTCATTTGAACACAATCCAGATCTCATGCATCCAAGGGCGATTTGTTACAATTATTCTACTACATCCGCCACCCCCAAATAAGAATTTTGCTTGTTAATCAATTAAAAAATATCACTGCTTAGAGGATTTTAAGAGTTACATTAATGATATACATATAAGATTTTCAATCTTTGATTATTTTATAATGGAGTGTTGTCCAGCATATTTTTCTTATTGGAAACGCAATCAAAAGACATAATATTATGTCCTTTTGTGGGTGATATTTACCAAAAGCTAAAGATGTAAAAATAGGGGGCTTGTGTTTTTTCGGAAGGATAAGGAAAAATGAGCGAGACTTACCAATCAGCGCCAGTCACGTGTCTAGGCCGGGGAAGTTATTAGTACGGTTCGAGTGAGTTTTAATCGAAATAGGACAGATCTTTTTTTTTATCCAAACACGACCAGCCGTGTATCTTATTTAAGATAGGACCAAGCTATTTAATGGGCAAGAGACAAATATGATCAAAAAGTATGATGTGTGTTCAAAATAGAGAATCAAAAACATAAACTATAAAATAATATGAGCAAAATAATCCATCAAAATAGAAACGTTAAATTATTCCGAGCCCACAAGTTTTTTGTGTGTCATTAAAGAATTTAATCCTCTCACTATTGCTCAAGGTATTTGGACTAATTCCTTTAAGAATAGAACGAAAAACTATTCGATAATAGTGACAATGCAAATTACAGAACTTTGACAAACTCAAATGGCATATAAAATCACATAATGGACACTTACATTTTGTTTTTGAAAATGATGCACAAATGCATAAAAGAGAAGGGAGAGTTTTCAAATTTTTTGTGGTGAAAAATAAAGCCAAGCCTTTAAATTTATAGCTAACAAGTTGGAGTTGAAAGGGTATGAAGATAGTGTCACGTCCAAAAACTCTACCAAAGGTCGTGATGGCATCTAATCTCCAAGGCTAGGTAAGTCAATCACACAATAATATAAAAAATAGTGAAACAAGGTATAACAAGTTTGAATTTAACATAATCAGCGGAATAAAACTCCAGCAAAGCCAATATAGAGGTACATAAGTCAAAATTTCAAAATCAGGTAATACAGAGTCATGAGCTCTAAACTATATACATAACGAGTCTCAAAAGTACAATATTGTTTGAAAGTAATACAACAATATGAAATAAGAAAAGGGGACTCCAAGGGTTTGCAACATCCATGCAACACTACCTTGAATCCACTCGAACAGTCAAAGCTCACTCCCGAGATCTGCTGCTACCAATACCCGGATCTGCATAAAATGTGCAGAAATGTAGTATGAGTATGGAACAGAATATACTCAATAAATATCAAGACTAACCTCGATGAATTCGTGACGAGGTTCAAGTCATGTGACACTCACTAGTCACTAGTTAAAAAACCTTGCAATATATAAAATAACTGGCAGCAAAATTATAATGAGATTAAGTGCCATTAACTCAAAAAAACAAGAGTTATCAGCTCAACACAGGAATCAATTTTTAACAAAAGAACTATTAGTTAATAATAGAGGCATATAGTAACATGTTAAAAGCAACGTGAAATTATGTAAAATGCATGACAAAGTATAAAGAATTCACTTGCATGATTAAGAATGCCACACTAATACTCCTGAAATGATCCGAACAGTTGTTTTTCGTATTTTAGCCCCGTTCCTCTATTTGATATTTCTTGTATTTGTATTTTATATTTGGTGATTTTCAGGGATGATTGGGATTTTTTTTTTGGAAAAATTTTGGAGTGAATTAAGATACTACAGACAAATAATGATCCAAAAGTATGATAGCACGTGTAGCTATACTAAAAAACTAAAACAAACGATAGATGTAACTTATTTTTAATAGTGGAGGAACAAATATGGCGCGTTCCGTATTATTATTATTATTATTATTTACTTATGCAAGTTTACAAGTAGATACTAGACAAGCAAGTATTTGTGCTGCGGCTTTAGATAGCCTTGGAAAATTGCTTCATGCACATGGGTCGCAATTCAGTTTCTGGGAAAAGCTATGCTAAAGTGCTTGCTATAAGAATGGTTATTGAAAGTGCAACCAGAAGTGGTTGAAACAAGGTGAAGCTTTTATCAAAAGCAAATAGATTAATGAAATGATACAAAAAGAAAGTCACTACCTCATGGGAAATAGAAGCAGCTTGCGAAGACGTGCAAGCTATCGACTTTGTTTAATAATGTAGACTTTGTTTATATTCCTAGAAAGTTGCTAGCACACAACTTAGCTAAGTTTTCTATTACTTTTTTGAAAGAAGTATCATTGGAGCACATTTACCCTAGTTAGATTGCACATGATGCTACGGGCACCTTTGCCCAATTTGTTTGTTCGTCGCAGTAATATAATATCTACTTTTGTTGGGGGAAAAAGAGATGTACTGTCAATGCTCTCCCTATTTTATTTCAAAGACTCGAATGGACAAATACAATGGACAAACCCTCATCAAGAAGTGGTGAAATCAATTACTACTGAGAGCATATCAAAAAGTCTCTTTCCAACATCCCACAATGGGAGATAACAAGAAATATCTGCAGAAGATAATAATTGACTAATGCCAATCCTTATTGGCAATATTCCCTGAATTGAGGCCAGAAGAATGGGCCAAACCATCAAAATGGACAAATACCATTAAAAACCAAATAGAAGTTCAACTTTGGTTCGTTCATTGTATATATGAAGATAAAACCTACATATCAAGAAGTCTCCTTCCAGCATGCCACAAATGGGAGAAAATAAGAAATATCTGCAAAACATAAGAATCAACTAATGTGAATGTTCCTTAAATGAAGCCAGAAGAATGGTCCATACCATCAAATTTTTTGCCATGCCTTCAGTGTAAATATTTCACCAATCAAATGCCTCTACTAAAACCTACTTAGGTTCATTACTGAGAACCCGATATAATTGAAACATATAGGACTGGTTTAATAGCTCCGGAAATTGTTAAATTGTAGCCAGGTAAAGTGAAACATATGAAGGAAACAATGCAAAGGAACAAAAACCTAGGCAAAATCATCATCATCTATGTAATCGGGAGATAATCTCTTTCTGGGCAAATGATTCTCGGAAAAGAATTTGTTCTTCAAGTTTATTTTAGTATCCTCTAAAGGTCTATTTAACTTGCTTCTTGGCTTTTGCAAAGGTTTGAAAAATGCAGGTAATGTACTCATAGAAATTTCATTAGGAGTTGATGTTGACAGCGCTTGAGCTTGCGATATCAAATTCAGTTTCTGAATTGAATTTTCCTTCTCGCTGGATTGTTTGCTTGATGACAATGTTGGCAATGATGGTGCTCGTCGTGGAGATGAAAAATTGGACTTTTTCAAAAGTTTTTCTTTGAAATGAGACAATTCTCTATTTTCCACCTTCTGTTTTGGTTTTAGTGTTGATTCAACAGGCACAAGCTTCCCATCCACTTGGTAAGAGAAAACAAAAGAAACCTGCAAATAATACAAAATGAGTATTCCAATTTCAGATAATAGAACAGTAAATAAGACCCCGAGGGACATAAAGGGTTAACTTTGTCTCCTTTTTTGGCTTCATTATGTAACATTAGTAAGTATCCTACAACGAACTTTCACATTGTTCTTAGCTTGAAACTTTGGAGTACGGAAAAGCAGGCCCAAAAAGTTTCTACTCAGTACAAGCTATGGGATCTCCTAGACATGCAATTCACAAAATTTTGTAGTAGTAGAATTCCTAGAAACGTGTAGTTCATGTTGTAAATTGGACTGTAATAAACTGTATCTATAACCATATGATTTAATGAGTTTTGCGAGACATTTAAAATTATTTGAAGCTAAAACTATACTTTAAACCAAAATTTAATCAGAAATATAGATTTTTATACACACACAGACTAGAATTTAAAATGTTACTTTTACTCCTAAACCCTGTACATCGTCTTAATTTTGGTTCCAAAGTTTAAACAACTTGCAAAATTTTCAAGCGGTACTTTTACGGTTTTGTTTGGTATTCATCCATATACCAATACTAAATCTGCCTATACTCCATTGGTCATAATAATCTATCTCAACATTTATTGGAGTATGCCACGTGAGTAGATTTTTGAAGATCTTTTAGTACATTAATATTCAATCCTTTTTTATTTCTTCATTTACTTTTTTGTTACCCAGAACTTATTAAAGGTAAGTTCTACAAAGTGGTGGTTAGACCGTCTATGTTGTATGGGGCAGAGTGTTGGCCAGTCAAAACTCCCAAAGTTGAAAGTTACCGAAATGAGGATGTTGAGATGGATGTGTGGGCACACCAAGTTACATAAGATTAGGAATGAAGTCATTCAAGATAAGGTGGGAGTTGCTCCCGTGGAGGATAAGATACAGAAGGCGAGGCTCGGAAATGTTAAGAGGAGAGGTATAGATGCCCCAATTATGAGGTGTGAGAGGTTGGCCATGGTGGGTATGAGGAGGGGTAGAGATAAGTCAAAGAAGTATTGGGGAGAGATGATTAGGCGGGACATGGCACAGTTGGAGCTTATTGAGGGCATGACCCCTTGATAGGAGGATGTGGAGGTTGAGGATTAGGATAGAAGGTTAGTAGTTAGTCGAGCGTGTCTCTTTTTCTTTCTTAGTCCAATAGCATTAGTGTTTGTATGGTTTTGTGTTATTCTTAGATTGATATTGCTACCCACAGTTTGATTGTTATCTTTGCGTCAGCGTTCTTAATATTTTGTGTTCGTTTTATTCTCAAATTGTTTTTACTACCTATTGTTTGATTGCTTTCTTTGACTCAATTTTCTTATTATCTTGAGTTGTTCCTACTTGTCGTTGTGCACCTTCTCTTCTTTTTCAGCCGAGGGTCTATTGGAAACAAGCCTCTGTGCCTTTCCAGGATAGAGGTAAGGTTACGTACATCCCACCCTCCCCAGACTCCACTTGTGGGAATACACTGGGTTTGTTGTACAGGGCGTGGGAGGAGAGGAGGTTGTGGTCTGAGTTCAATGTAATAGCAATTTGACCTCTCTGCTTACCTCGTTTCCTGCTGCAGACTGGAAAATTACATCTGGCACAGATTTTGGGGAAAAATGATGACCCCAACTGGCCAAGTCCTCTTCCTTTGGAGCTCCAATCTGGAAAAGGATGTTTGTTAGCATGAGAACCAAATTACAGAACTGAAACTTGGGCTACAGAAATATAAACCAACCTGTTTCTCCGAGCTTCGTAATGTATGCAGACAACCAGCTACGCCTGCAAATCCCCCAATATCCTCTTGTTCGGGCTGAAGACCCTGAGTGTTGAAATCAGCTATTGGGTTGTCATCTGGCATCACTGCATCTCGTTGGCAGCGGTTGCAGCTCATTTTTTCATGAATCTCAGACCTGTATTGACAGCAGTTGAAATAAATATGAAAGACAATATGCATTTTGGTTATATGAGATATGAAGCTATAGAAGAGCGTAAAGATGAGATTACACTCGGCCATAATAAAATGTCTGAATCTACTTAAATAATCATCGCTCCAACATGAAGGAACATGAGATCTACACAATGTTGAGCTGCCATAAGTAATTTCTCCTATAAAGTTAACCCCGCCGATATAGTGGACAATCTTTCTTCTTATCCAAAGGAAACAGATCAGAGAAAAAGATGAATTCTTAACCATACTTCAATGTGTTCAAATGTTTTTTCCTCATTTGAAAATGCAAAACAGGAAATCGGGTGATAGTGTGTAATTCTCAGAGACATATCCTGCATATAAGCAGTAGTTGCACATAATGCCGCAAACTCAAACTAAATAATTATGATGTGTATACATACACACACACACACACACAAACACGCCTTTTGGTATGGCTCAGATGCTAAAGC